ATTGTAGATTAATGATACCAAAATAAAATTAAAAAAATAAAATAAAATAAAATAAAATAAAATAAAATAAAATAGGTGTTCAGAAAGTTGAAAGCAAAGAGGTTTAAAAGGGAAAAAAGCACTCCAAATGTAAGTAGTAAAGGAACACAGAAGACAAATTAAAGAGAAAGCATGGAATCTGGGGAGTACAGATAGGACTAGCAGAGTGGGGGGCAGAAAATGAGACACTTCAAGCTGGCAAAAACCCTCAGGGCTCTTGTGAGTAATACTCAGAAAGTGTGAAGCATTATTATAACTGCATTAGCCTAATAACACAGCAACATCCTATATGGGTAAAAAAAACTCAGATGTAGTTAGTAAATTCTTAGATACGGGAAAACATTTATTTAATTAGTGGAAGTTTGATTATCTCTGGATGTGCTCCATTAGTGTGCCTGGGTTATCTGGGTATATCCATTACCAGGAGTTTGGCTTAACAAATTCATTCAGTGAATTCCATCAAGGCATTTTTCTGCTTAACTCCTTGTGGCCAACTATCAGGCAACTGAGCCCTAGTGGTTTTCAGGTTTCTTTGCATACACTTTGGTAGTTTGTCTGAGCAGTAAGAGCAGTAGAGAATTTTCCATATGTGAGTGCTTCAGCGGGTGGTGGGAAGTCAGGCGGAGATGCCTTCCAGAGCTGAGGGGGCCTCTTGGCATTTCCCTGGCAGCCTCGCGCTTATCATCAGCCAGAACCCAGGCACTCATTAGGCTCTTGATGAAAAGCATCCCAAAGAAAATGCCAGCAAATCATGCCACTGTGCTGGCAGGAAATTAAAACTGCTCAGAGCAAGTGGAGCCAAGAGAGCTGTTGAAATGAAAGGTAACATCAAGGGTGTGATCACTGATTCACACAGTTGGTCCGGCTTCAAGCTGTGGCTTTCTGCTTGACTAGGGAAAGCAGGAGGCCCTCTCCGCTGTCAGCTGCAGTGAGTCCAACAGAAGAGCTGAGACAGGCGCGGAGGTGGGCTCTGTGAATTAAGCTTTGTTGTGCTCCGGTAAATCCTTGGGGTTTGGGTTGTTTTTCCTCCCCCAAAGGAGCCTCTCCTAGGAAAAACAAAAATTAAAAAAAAATTTTTTTTTCTCCTAGTCCCAAGCACTTAAAGACCAAATTAAGTAAAAATACAACTCCCAAAGTGCCACCCTTATTAAAGTGGGGGCAGACAGTATGGAGAGGGGCAGACAAATCCTCAGAACCTATGCATCTAGCAAAGAGGATGAGGAAGGAGTATTTTAATTCCAGAAAACTTTCTGTTGGCAGTGCTGCTTTTATCCTGAGGCTAAAATAATCATCGGCAATAGGGAAGAAAGGGGGTACTTAGTAGGAGCCATCACCAACATGCAAACAAAACACCCTGAAACTTTCATCATTCCGGGGCGGAAGGCAAAGCAGTGGTTCCCCAAAGATGTCCAGGTCCTAGTTCCTGCAACCTGTGAGTATGCTGCCCTCCGTGCTAAAGGGGAATTAAGGTTGCAGATGGAATTAAGGCTGCTAATTAAAACTTTAATAGAAAGATTACCCTGGATTATCCCAGTGGGCCCAATGGAATGACAGGGTCCTCAAATGTGGAAAAGGGAGGCAGCAACCGAGGTCAGAGTGAAATGAAGTGAGGACTCAGCTAGCCATTGCTGGCTTTGAAGATATAGAAATGGCCCAGAAGCCGAGGAATGTCAGTAGCCTCTATGGGTTGGAAAAAGCAAGGAGATTTATATCCCTTTCCTCTAGGGCTTCCAGAAAGGAATGTACCCCTTTCAACACCTTGATTTTAGCCCCGTTAGAACCATGTTGGACATCTGACCTCCAGAACTATATGATAATAAAGTTATATCATTGAAGCCACTAAGTTTGTTGTAATTAATATCAGTAATAGAAATGGAATACCTTGGTATTTAGAAAAATTATCTGAAGCTCCATAAAGGAGTTTCCAAGTTCACCTACAATTGTCGACATAAAATAGTATAAGAAAGCAGTGAAAAGATCCAAAAGGTACCTTTATATGTTAGAATTGTTAGGCATATCCCATACATTTTCTCATTTAATCATAAAATTTACAACAGCCGTATGAGGATGTATCATCAGTTCTAATCTGTAAATAAGGATGTTTTTAAAAAGTAAAACAAATCATGTCTTTCAACTAATTGAAATCCTCAGTGGTCTCCTATCTCACTTACATTAAAATCCAAGCTGCAAATCTATAATAGGTTGGAATAAGTCCTAAGGTATAAAGTGTCATATCAATAGTGTCAAAGTGTGGACTCCTGGTTAGCATCACATGGTACTTTGTCAGAAAAGCAGCTCTCAGGTCCCACTACAGACCTTTTCAACTACAGTCTCTGGGGTTAAGGCTCAGGAATCTGGGTTTTAACATGCATTACAGGTGATTTCTACACAACTTAAAGGTCTCTGAAGTGCTGCTTGTGAAGCCCAGGATGTATGCTTACCCGCTGCTCCAAGTCTGGTACCACTCTCATCCTTGATTGTGATGCTGAAGTCACACGGGCCTTCGTTCATTTTCCGAGCATGTCATGTTTGCTTCTATCTTGGGACCTTTACATTATCTATTCCTTCTGCCTATTAGGCCCTTCCTTTAGAAATCTGTCTTTTGGCTAATGTCTTTTGGGTCTTGAGGCTTCCCTAGTTATGAACACATGAGAATCGAAAGAAAAAGTGCTAATAGGACTAGCTCCTCACTACTTCATCACAACATATGTCTATTGATTTGAGAAAATCACAAACCCACCAATCATGAACAGAGAAATCTATGGATAATAAGAAAATGAACATTAGTTGATAACTTCGTGATTTAAGTTTTACTGTAAGTTTTAACAATGTGATCACAATATTTCCTTTTCTTGAGCAAAGTGGTCTTGATATGTTAGACTTGGAAAAAAAACTTTTAGTGCTAGTAAATATTATTTTAATTATTCTATCTCATGATCTTGCATGGTCTATTAATTTTAATTCTTTTTGGACAGGAGGATTCGATAAGGAGGCACAACTCAGCATATATTCTATACATTAGCTAGGGGTATTCTGAACCAGTGTTAACTATAAATGCTTTGTAATGGATAAGCACATAAGCTTTTTCAATTCCTTATGCCTGCCATTTTTACAATGAGTTCTGCTGCATTTCACAAGTCTCTTGGCAGGACATTTAATGTGGGTTTTGTCTTCCTTTTAAATAGGTTTTTTCAGTAATTATTTTTATAGTAAAACATAAAATAGTATCAAAGTTTAGTTCTACTGAAAATCATCAGTCTACTCGGAGGAGCATTTAGCATGTTTTATCCTTCACAATAAGTCCCTACTGCAGCTAATAAACCCCCACACTTTTGGTGGTAATATATAATAGAAATTTATTTCTCAGTTGTTTAACACTCCAGGGTGGCATTTCTGGTCAGTGGATATGGATGTCTTTTTCCCATTGCCTAGGGTCTCAGAACGCTCTCTATCAAGCCAGCAGATGGAGAGAGTAGAGAATGCTCACCTATTTCTTAAAGCCCAGACCTGGACATGACATCAGTTTTGCTCGTGTTTCCTTGGTGAGAATTTATCACAAAGCCACAATTGGTTGGAAGGGGAATAATGAACTATCATCCATGGGTGAACAGCCATTCCCAGTGACAGAAATCACTCCATGAATGGGGAGTCACAAATGTTAGGGGCAGCCAGCTGTGTCCTGCCACAAAAACCTATGAAAATTATCTTAGTGCCATATTATATTGCAGCTGTTAACCAAATGTAATGCTTAATCACAGCAAATCTATTTCTCCTTCCTCACCATATGTGCTTTTCACCCTTTTAATGATGCCCTTACTGCAGACTCCCATAGCAGTTGATATTTCCTCATTTAGAAATTCTCATCATTCTTACTATTTGTCCAACCACACTAAGCTTCTTAAGGGTAGGAAAACTCACCTTTTTCTTTGTATTCCCAATATCCAACAAGTGCTTAACATAATGCTTCTTATATGGTATAGTGTCTCTTATAAAGTAGAGTCTCAATGAACTATTTTGAATGAATGAGCAAATGAATGAAATTATTGAATTCCTGTTGCAATATATTATCTCTTGAGATACATCCTATGTTTCAAGCTACCTCTAGGCACTTTTGAGTTAGATGGTCAGCTGAATAAATTAAACAAAAATTCAGGCCCTTTGCCCTTTTTGTCTTTTCATAAAGGACATGATGCAATTGTCACACTCCTGAAGCATTATAAGAGACCGCATGATGAACTGCCCTGTAATGAGTATTCTCAGCCTGGAGGAGGTACCCCGTTCTTACTCAGTTTGTGTTTGTTAGTGCATTATTGTGCCTAAAGGTAAACCTGTGTTTCTACTACTATCATTCTGGGGCTTGGGAAGAGGGCATGTTAGATTGCTTTAAGAAAACTTATGTTTGGGTGAAAATTAAGAATCCTCCACTTAGGCTGTTTTCTAACTCACCAGTCTGCAACTCCTCCAAGTTTAACACTCCCTGAACTGGGTGTTTATGTGGCTTGAATGTGACTAGTAAGGTCTAGGTAAGCTGAGAGCAGTTCTGTTGCATTTCAGTAATCCACTAAGGCAGGACAGAGAATCCTCAGATCCAGATACAAATTAAATCTACTGGAGTCTGCTAGACCTTGGCTTAATCTTCTTATGCACTCTCTAAATAAACACTTGCTGTACAGCTTCAGTATCCAGAAAAGAGTTGGGCTTAGCTATAGTCTCAGTTTTCTTAGCAGGTTTCTTTTGTTACCTGCTTTTTTTTATTTTTAACTGTTATGTAGTAAAACATGATTGCTACTTTCAACTATATAATACAATTTAATTTCTAGATGGCTCCTATGTGTCTGTTCCATCCCCCTTGGGGAAGATTAAAAGCATGACGAAAGGTATTTTAATATAGAACAATTGTTATATTTTATTAGTAAGGATAACTTTGCCTCAAATATGATAACTTTCTGTTTTTTATGTATCACAAAATGATGGCTATTTTGCAAGCATAAACAATTACTATTAACAAAGCATTCTTTCCATAATTAACCTTACCTGCTGTACTATTTTGCATATTCTCTCTCAGTTCATGATGGTATAACTGAAAAATTTCATATGAGGTTTTAAGAAAGAGGAAATTCTCATAGGCATTTGTATTTTCAATGAAATGTAAGTTACAAATATTAATATCTTTAAGAATTGGGAATAAGGTTGCCATAGGAAAAAATTTTTTGAAAAAAACATTTTTTTCAAAAGATCTCAGATAAATACTTTGGAAACTTTTGAATGTATGCTGCCTAGACAAATTAATACTATTGAATCAGGCAAATAAGAAATATGATTCAACAGTAAATACATATTTGACTATTTAAAATTTGAAGTTTTAAAAATTATTTTGGTTTATAGTATTTTCTCTGAATGATTCATGTGCTTATTTCCTGACATCTAATTGGCATTCCTCTGAGGCTGAGTTTATGGGTATTTGGCTAAATCCTCTGTGATAGATTGCAGGAATTGACCAGATAAGACTATTGTGATGTGATATGGACTGTACTCAAGGATTGTCATGTTATGTAGACAAGCTAGCTGTTGATCAGATCAGGAATAAACCCTCAGCCTTGATAACAAAGATCAGGTAACAGAGGCAAAGAACTAACAGGCTTTTAATGCAGGAGTGTAGGGATCATTCGTGATAAAGTTTTAATATCTCCAAGTAGCCAGTTCTAGTTGGAAAATTAAATGCTACCAGAGAATGACATATTTTGGTTAGTAAAGTATATATATGCATCCTGTATACACATCCACATGTGTGCTTTTTATCTTAAAAATAAAATAATTCCTGTTTACAGAGAAGGCGGATGTTCTCCTCCTAAGGGCTGGATTGCCCTCACATTTCCATCTTCAGCTCTCAGAGATTGAGTTCCATGAGATTATCGGCTCAGGTAACCTAAGAAAACACTACTCTGCTTTAGTTTAAAGAGCTCAAGGTAGTGTATGTTTATTTATTTCTCTTAAACAATTTTAGGTTCTTTTGGAAAAGTATATAAAGGACGATGCAGAAATAAAATAGTGGCTATAAAACGGTAAGCAGGCAAATGAAAAATGTTGGCGTCCAAACGGAGTTGTGAACTTTGAGAAGCATGCGCATGGTGAACCCCTCGTTTGGATCTGTCTGTTGACTGAGGATTTTCTATGACTGCCATTTCAGTTACAGAGCCAACACCTACTGCTCCAAATCAGATGTGGATATGTTTTGCCGGGAGGTGTCCATTCTCTGCCGGCTCAATCACCCCTGTGTAATTCAGTTTGTGGGTGCCTGCTTGAATGATCCCAGCCAGTTTGCCATTGTCACTCAGTACATATCAGGGGGTTCTCTATTCTCCCTCCTTCATGAACAGAAGAGGTATGGGTCTTTTGTTCTCACCTATTGTTTTACATGTCAGTGGAAGTATCCTTGCAACACCTCAGATGCTTTCTGCTTGGATGAGCCTTTGCCTTCTGAAGTCTTTGAGTGCTAGGAAGTGTGGCGTTTTAAAGATGGCTAATAATGTATGCCCTATAATTATGTTGGATAAATAGAAATACTTCTGTGCTTTCTTAACAGTAATTCAGTTGAAGATAGCCAATTCAAGGAATGTAAATTAGTAACTCAAGCTTATAATAATTAGACTAAATTTGACCTACCAATAATGCAAATATATATAAGATCACAGTAAAATAATTACCAGGGGTTACAGTATTTATTTTAAAAAGATTTAAAAAAGAATGGTCTTTTATAAGTCTAATTTGAATTCACTTCCTAGTTCTATACATACAATAATTAGAATGTGGTTCCACTCAGTGGTTAAAGTAGATTCCATTTTCATGTTATTACAAAGAAATTAAGTATAATATTACAAATATTATAAAATCAAGTAAAATATTATAAGTAAGAGGGACTGATATCTGAATTGATCTATAATTAAACATTATCTGATGTAGAAAACCTCATTTTCCAGATTTGTTGAATTTTGAGCTTAACCTTCAATAAAGCAAAAAAGGCTGAAATTACACAGCGTAACACATCACACACACCATTGATTTCTCTTAGAAAGATACAATATTGGCTTTGCCCATTTCATCCTCATTAAATCTATTTTTAAATTTTAGGATCCTTGATTTGCAGTCTAAATTAATTATTGCGGTAGATGTTGCCAAAGGCATGGAGTATCTTCACAACCTGACACAGCCAATTATACACCGTGACTTAAACAGGTATTCTTTCCCCTAAATAATAAATAAAGAGTTGTATAACTGACTAGGAATCTGTTAGAGATTTCAGTGATGATACAGTTTAGATTTATTGCAGATCATGGTTTTCTACTCTGTAGGTAAGGGGACAAGGCTACCATAAGCCTACACAATAGAAAGTTTTGTCATTGTCTTTTACAGAAATAGAAAGCTGTAGAGCTACTTCTCAGGAATCTTTCAAAACTGTGAAAAATTTTCACAAAGAGAATGATGTCTGTAAGATTCACCATCTAGCTAGTTCTCAGGTCAGTAAAGTCAGATCAAGGATTGAGATCAATGACTATTATAGAACGTTTTAGAAAAGAAATGTCTCATACAAAGTCAGGTCTTATAGGAGGACTTGATATAAAATTATTTGAAACACTGGTTTGTGATCACCATTTTGGTATTTTTGTAATAGAAAATTCAGCCAAAAACACAGCAGCTAATTTCACCTGGTTTTCATGTTACATGTTCTCATGTGAAATAGAGACTTGAAACAAATTTAAAATTAGAGTATTTCAGGGGTGGGACTCTAGGGGATTTAAAAATTTTTTTAAACAGTGAAAGCTTTCTCTAAGCAAAGTCTTACAGGAATGCTAATATACAGAAAGAAACAGCTTTAGTTGGAGGCAGAATGTGGTAAAGAAATCTGTTCACTTCCCATTTTCTACTGCCAAGGAGGGAGATCCCTGGGCCATCTCTGTGGAATCCCAAAGGTGCTATGGAAAATAGCTGGTCTACTTTATAAAATAAGTCTAGTTTATAAAGTCAGATTATTCAGAATCATTAACTAATTTCCTTATTATCAAAAGGTTCATATAGATACCATATACAATCCTTTGTATAAAACAGTTCTGAAACTACTAAATATTAATTACTCCATTCAGCCATTTGTTCAACAACTACTTGGGTATCTGCTATGTTCAAAGCCCTTATATTTGGTGTAGTAGAGCTTGCAAAGTGAAACTGCCATAGACTCCATTCCTAAGGAGCTTTCATACTTCTCGTATAGGAGAAAAATACCTAATTAAATACACTTTATGTATCAAATAACAAGTTCTATAAAGAGATAGTGAAAAATTTCTATAAAATTTCAGGAAAAAGAATATTAATTACTTTTGAGAAATTTAGAGACAACTCCATGAAAGAGCTGACATTTCAGCTTGGCCCTGAAGGATGGATAGAATATGAAATAGTATCCTAGGCTTAGGGAAGACATTAAGATAAATAAAGATATAAGAGCAATGCATAATTTCACTTTAATGGATGCAGTGTATAAATGTGTGTAGTGTATGTAATGAATGAAGCCAAGTGTTAGGAGACAAATTCAGAAACATAAACTGGAACAAGAACACAACAGAAGTCGGTAAATGATAGAGCAAGGTAAGCAGGAAGGAGGCACTGAGGGTGTTTCAGCTAGGAATCAAAATTTGGAACTGTATTATGAAAAGATTAATCCAGCATCTTTGTAGAAGATCAGCTGGAAGGGGAAGTTAAAAAACTGGTGAAGCAATTGTAATAATCTAGATGAGAAGTAATGAAAAACAGAGTTTCTCTAGTGGCAGTGGAAATGAAAGGAAGAGATATGAGAGATAGAGATAAAATTAAATTAGATATGAGAGTGATTGAATCTTAGGTACTGGAGGTAAACATGTAGTACTCAATCCGTTTATAATTATTTACTAGTTTTTAAATAAAAGTCATTTATTTACTGTCAGTTATTAGTTCTTTTCAGTACCTCTCTTTTTTTTTTATTAAGGTATTATTGGTATACACTCTTATGAGGGTTTCACATGAAAAACAATGTGGTTACTACATTCACCCATATTATCGAGTCCCACCACACACCCTATTGCAGTCCCTGTCCATCAGTGTAGTAAGATGCCACTGAGTCACTACTTGTCTTCTCTATGCTACACTGTCTTCCCATGATCCCCCACACACACCATGTTTCAGTACCTCTCTTTTAAAAACATTAATAAACATAGTGTTTCTTTTCAGTAACAATATTTAAGAAATAGATTTAGGTGATAAATTAGCATGATGGAAACGTGATTGGTGCATTTTAGGAGTATTATCATTTCATCCCAACTATCTTTCTTAAAACAAATGAGTGATTGTTGAAAGTTTTCTCTAGCTGTGACTCTTCATTTGTGGGACAATTGAATGTGTGTTCTGTTGCCCTGTAAATGCAAGTTGTAACCACTACTTTATAAAGTAGGGCCAAAAATATAAATGTTGATTAAAAGTGGAAACAGAACATTCACAATATAACAGATATGTTTATATTTACCATTTTTTTCTGTCTCTTATCTAACCCAAATGCTTAATTGTACCAAAAAGTCTTCAGATTTTTATGAAACACTGTTTCATAAGTGCCTTCAATATAAGAGAGTCCCCAACTATTGTATTTATTATTTGTGAACTATTTTCTATTAATCTTTAATCTGACAACAATAAAAATTCAGTTTTTCAGATCAACACTGGTATAACATTGCATATTGCTCAAAAGAATGTAAGTCTTTCCCTTCAGAGGGTTTACTACAATCTGGTTGGGTGCATAGAACATATGCCCAGGAAGCAATTTAATTGCTATTTAAGGTAGAAAATGATTAAGGACCAAAATGATTAAGCAGCAATTTTCAAAGGATTTCAACTAAGTCAAAGATCAAAGTAGAGTTGAAAATCTCCTGGAGGATTTGGAGCTAAAACTAAAACGGGCATGTATCTTTCCTTAGTCTTTTCACAGCATACTTATCCATTCTTACATTTCTATAATTCTTGAGTCCCACTTAAAGAGATAAAGGGAAAGCGCACATCAGAGTGAGGAATTCAAAGACTGCATCTGTATTGAATTTATCTGTTTACATTTTTCTCTTCTGTCCCCGTGCCCCAGTCTGAGCACTTCAGTGCTTCAAGGGCAGAGTTCCTGTTCTCTTCATCTCAGAAATGTTCAATCCATTTTAAACTGAACCAAATTCTTCAGATACTTCACATATTTCTATGTGTGTCATGTCAGGAATCAATGGCCTAGTTAGTACAAATATGGCTACTTATAGATAGAGTTCGACTAATTTATCCTATACTTTTTATAGTTGTAATGAAAGTGGCTACTTGAGCTTATTGATCAGACCCATAGAAAGGGGCACTTCCACCCTTGGCTTTGTGGTTGTTGGTTTATTTGAGTGAAAAGAAGAACTCTGCCTTTCCCACAACAAGCTTCTTACCATAGAGGCCTGAAGTTAATTTTGATCTTCAGTATATAGTAAGGAGAATTTCAAGGAATGATAAGGAAGTCGTTTTTTTCAACAATGATTACAAGATTGATGATAATACCTACCATTTATTTAACACAATGGAAACGGAGCTCTGCTAAGCCCTTGCTGTGTATGCTTTCATTTAATCTCGCAACAATTCTATAATATAGTTATTATTGTCTCCATTTACTGATAAGAAATACTGACTAAAGAGATGAAATCTAAGGTCACTGTCTTATAGGGTTCTTAACTTCATATTATTGTTGTTATATATATATATATATATATATATATATATATGTCGTTCCAAGAACAAAACCAAGTCAGAACAGAAAAACCACCAGCCATTTATACACCTTGCTCTTTGTACTTCAGTCCTTAATAGGCTCAATTCCTATGACCCCAGCCATTTGTCATATCACCTCTTTGAGCTTCTGCTGCAAGGCAGCTGCATCTGGGGAAGTCTGTCCCTACTCACTAGGTGAAACCGCAGCCTGCATGGCTCTGATCATCGATGTAAGAATTCTCAAACAGGCCGAAAGAGTAGGTAAGGAAGGAAGGAATTAAAGCAGGAGTAGTAGTGAATGGCAGCAGCCATACGGGCCGTAGAGAGCAAGAAGGACAAGAGGGGGGTAGAAAGGCAAGTTCACTGGACTGCTTAGCACACAGCAGATCCCTTGCCAACTCCGGAAGCTGGGGTCACCTGGCGTCCAGTGTCCACTTGAATCTCCACAGCATGGGAAGTAAGCCCCTACCACCCCAGGATTTAGGGGGAGCTGCAGAGACTGGATGGAGTGAGATTATCATCTGAGAACTTCCCAAAGACAAAGAAAGGATAATTTCAGGCAGGCTCCTAAAGAGCATGATCTCACAGCTGCAGTCCCACTGGAGTCACCAGGTGATGGGAACTTGCAAGCCCAAATCAGAGATCTCAGTAGCCCTTTCCAACTTGCCTGAAGTAGAAGAGAGGAAGTGAAGAATTGTACTTAAGACTAGAAAATTGAACAAAATGGTGAAGTAACAGAGATGCTTAACACTAGGAAAAGGGGTCTTTTAATCACTCAGGAGGCTTGGAGAGCACAGAGACAAAACACAGTTAAATTGAGCAGCAAGAAGTCTTTATTTAAGGCAAAGTACACACTTGAAGAGTGGGGAGTGTGGGCAGCCTCAGAGAGGAGGTGTGCTTAAAGGCTTAGGATTCCTGTCGTTAAAGGATTTCAAGAATGGGGCAAAGGGCCAGGGGGCGTAGACTTGACATGTGGTCTCATGATGTCTTATCTTTGGTGAGAGACATTACATCACCATCCACAGTAAGACCTCTAGATATTTTGTAAGATAAACTTAACACAAGGAACTATTGATGCTCTTCCTCTCTGAGATAGTGGTTACTCTCAAGGAGTGGAAACAACATTTAGGGCTGCTTTCCCTGCCTTAAAATAGGGCCAATTGTTGGCTAATTACCATAAAATACGTTAGAAATCTTACCTCCTATCTCCCTGTTTTTTAAAATGGAATCTTAGTCTTAAGATGGAATCCCTTCTGCTTTTACTGTACTGCTTATATCTTGGCATTTTTTTTCATAGGCAGGAAACTTTAATCATGATGCTTGTTCCATGTCCCTGTTCTACTGTTCTACCTCACTTCTGTGTTACTGCTTTATTTCTTCTTCTATACCCCATATTCTGCTAGTGTAAAGTAGAAGTTGCATATGAGATACACAGATAT